TTTGTTTTTTTTAGACATTTTATTGTGTCTGCAGCACCAAGACAAAAGACCGGATGGTCTGACGAGGCCTCGGTGCCGCTAAGTAAATGAAATAACAGAATAACTCTATCGACTGGCGAGCAGTAACCCTACTTTTAGGAATGCTTCAACAACTACGCGAAAAAACCAAAAACATGTAAGAATAAACTCAGCATTAGCGTCAAGCACTGCTAAAACCAATAACATAAAATTTCCTATTTCAGTTGTCTTTACTATCATCAAAGCTTTTTTTTCACTATTATCTTGCATTTGTTTACCGAGATATCACATGTAATGTGTGTGTGGAGATGACTGTGTATGTTAAGAAAGCTTGGAACTTGATACGAAAGTGTTTGTGAGCCCATGTTAGTTCCAATTTTCGTAAGTACATACTTTTCATTACGAGTGTTATAATGGTGGTCGGGTCTAGTGTAGAGTGATGGATATGTTGGCTCTCGATGTCCTGGAAAATGTAGAGTGCGAGTCTATAAATGATATTTATGTATTTGCTTCTGATATTTCAGTGTTTTATATTTTGCGAAAGGCGGAATGCTGTCTGCGTCATTTTCAGAGTTATTTATTAATTAGGGGAACATCCTTTTTCTGCATAATATGTAGATGTGTGATATTTGTCTTTGTCGTGTGACCCCAGATAAGAAAGCACTAGTAGACCTTGCTATATAAGGCATAATAGAGCTGGTACTTGAGCCATTCCGGTAATTTTATTTACGTGGTTAGTCCAATTCAAATGTTTCTTAAACCAGAGTCCAATAAATTTGTGATCATCTACGGTGTCTACGCGTTCAGTTTCAGTATTTTTTAATTGAAGGTTAATATTTATATCACGGGCCCGGTTCACTGAGGAAAATATATATTTTGCCTTTTTTATATTTATCGATAAACCATTTGGGGGGCTTTAACCAGGATGAAATTTCGAATAAATATTTGTTGACTGTATACTCCAGCTCGCTAAAATTGACTCCAGAAAAGAAACATCTGTATTATTGGCGTATATTATTAAGTCTTCGGTAAGTGGTGCATTAGGTATATGTTTAATGTAAATCAGAAACAACAAGGGCCCTAATATCGAGCCTTGTGGCACGCCATATTTGATTAACCCTAGAGGTGATTTTACGTTATTATATGTGCAGTATATTGTGTACGATGTGTAAAGGTAATTAGTGATAACTTTGTGTGCGGTTCCTCGTATGCCATATGCCTCGAGCTTTGAAAGAAGAATGTTGTTTCATAAAGTCGAAGGCTTTATGAAAGTCGATAAATAAACAAATTGTGAAGAGTTGATTTTTTATATTATGTTTTATTTTATCTGTGATATGCAAAAGTGCTATTTCAGTTTTACACTTCTGAAAGTGATAATGTTGTGTGGTTATGACATTTTCAAAACGAAAAAATTCTGAAGCCGTTTGTTAATTATTTTTTCAATTATTTTCGAAAACAGACGCAACACTGATGTGGGCCTCCAAATATAACCCAAGTCATATTTGGAGCCGCCCTTACTGATTGTTCACACTTTCGCTATTTTCAGTTGATCAGGAAAACTACCACTTTCAAGATACAATTGCATATACGAGTAAAGGGGAGTGAAATAATGTAATACAAATTTAATGGCCACTACTTTAATGTCATCGAAACCACAGGCTGTATTACTTTTTGAGGGACATCATAAGCATTATTATTTCCTGTTGATTTCTACAGGAAATAATGAGGCTTATAATGTCTCTAAAAATACCTTGGAAAGGTATTTTTTTTAGGTATTTTCCATGATCACCAGATTGACTTGTAGACGACAATTCACCAGCCGCTAGAAATCGTGAACTAAATCTTATCGCTAGTTGAGGACCTGATAAAGTTTCACCATTTATTTTTAAAATTAGGGAGGTAATTGGCCGAGTGGGCTAGCGCACACTAGCTCTGAGCACGTGGAGCGAAGGCTCGCGCTGCAGAACCCAAGATCCTGGGTTCAATGCCCACCCCTGCCGGTTCCGACTTGGATGAGCATCGTACCGGCGTGCGATCTTGTACCACTACTGCGTGATGCACGTTAAACACCCCAGGCTCGCGGTTGTACTGGGCTGGCTAAATTTCTCATCTAGAGCTGGGAGACTCGTCGCCCGTTGAGACAGACCAAGTTCTAGACAACCCAGCTTTTTTTTTTTTTTGGTAAAACGATATAAAAAGATAGTAACAGCCGTAGGGAGGTAGTAACTGATGCAGTTACCAACTTTTTTTTTAAGAGTATGAAGGCCAACAGTGCTTTTTAATGCTGAACTGGTCTCGTTTTCTGCTTCTTTACTCCAGGAAAACTAACACAAAAAGCTGTTACTTAGTACGAACTCTGGCATTACACGAAATAACAATTCAAGCAGAATATGTAAAAGTAGTTAATCTATCCTATTTTTTATCACTTAGATTTTTCATAAATTTTTAACTTATACACAGTTCGGCTTCGCTGAAGGCATCTCAAAGAGCGCGCACGTAATCAATTTCTTTTTTATTAGAAAAAATATTTTGGCGAAGGTCCATTGAGCATCTACAAACAGCTGCGATTTTTTTTTTTTTTTCGAAGAAATCGGCAATGGTCGGTGTCACCGCCTGGAACGTTAGGTATGAAATGACTCAAAAGAAACGCTCAAGAGAGGACCTGGCTTATATCCTATCTTGTGTGTTTCTTTTCTTAGTCCCTATATTAAGCGCTGTTTAGTTTGCATTATCTTCATCAGTGAGTACCTGTAAGCAGTATCTAGCAAAGTGGAGAAAAGCGCTTCATAAAAGTAATCGACGCCAACCCATGCGCTCGCAAACGAGGTCGAGAAACGAAGATCAGTCAGTTTTGTCCTTTTTGCGTGTGGGATCATTTCGTCCGGGGTCATTTCATCCTGCGGTACAGCTTCCAAGGTAGCGAAAAGGCGCACGCCCTTTTCGACCTTAATTCACTGGCACTTGTTCGTAAACAAACCCGCCCAGTCCCGGTAGATCCTCGCCCTCTTTTCCGCGGAGTTTCTTCTCCCTTTGCTACGCGTCTTCTGCGCTTGTCGTTTTGCTCGAAATCTGTTCAGGCCTTCACAGTTCTGTTCCTGGGATTTGAAGTAAGATCTGGACTTTCACGATCGTCTTATGCGCAGTGAATTCAAAGCATAGTGGGAGTGTGCTGGCCAGTGCCGTAGCCAGGAATTGTTTTTGGGGGAAAGCGGGGTTGCGCTCTGCAAATGCGTAACGCGAAGTCTCCATCCCCCGAATACGCCTTTGCTGCTCGCGCACAATGTGCAATGGAGCTCTCGTATACCGTTGGCTGCGTTTCCATGGATGCGAAAAAAATATTAGTGTGTGTATGTTTATAAAGCCGGAAGTTAGTCTGCCTTAGAGGATTAGTTCATAGAAGTTAGTCTGGTGTCTCAGCTGTTGATGAGCAATTTAGCCAGTGCGGTACAACCGCTTGCCTGGGGTCTTTAACGTGCACCAGGCAGTAGTGATACACGACCGCACGCCGGTACGATGCTCATCCAGATCGAAACGGGCAGGGGTGGGGGTTGAACCCAATGAATCCGAAAGTAGCACATCGACTTGACAGGGAACGAATCACACGCGTCCAGTCTCTACTTTTTCGATGTGCTACGGTCACATCCATGTATCCGCGGCTATGGACTTGCGGGTCAGAGTTCATGCCAAGCATAGATGTTTCGAGAGCGCAAACTTTCTTTTTTTTCTTTTTTTTTTCGTGAAGGGAACGTTTTGGATTTTTTTTTTTTTTTTTAATCTACTAGCCCATTTTTAATCCCTTGACAAATGTCAAGATTCAAGTTGGGGCGGAAGTTGGTGGAGCGCACCGATTGGCTTATCACGATGATGACTTCGCGATTTTTTCTCCGACGTCCAATCGGCGCGCTCCGCCAACTTTTGGCTCCAACTTTGTGGTTGACGAGTTTAGGGCCCCAGGTAGATATCTTGGCGAATTGTGTACAATTCTGATAAAAAGAAACGCGAACAACGGAGTGCGTGTCTTCCTCAGAGCAGTACATGGTCTTTTTGGACACTTGGCGAAAAAGTCGGCGAGTAATTCGACCACCCTGACTGGCCGGCGCCAAGATCAAGCGCGGCGCCGGCCAATCATGGCCGCAAAGTTTTTCGCCAACTTTCCAGATTAGAACCCCTGAAAGTGATTCTTCCTGGCCCGTTTTTGAGAGTAAAAGTCTCGGATCCAACCCCCAAAATACTTGGGGCAATACTGGCGGTCGCCACGATTGAGTCCTCGCTTCCGGCGTGGTCAGACGCGAGCCCACAAGCCGAGTGCCTGCCGGCGCAAGGACTGGAAACAAATCAAACTCCAAGGCGCGCGCGACTATAGATCGTGGTGGCGGGTAACTTGCTGGCCGGCTATAGCGTGCATGGTATCCGAGGCGTTAGAAGGCTATAACTATGTCAAAGAAAAAAAAAAAAAAAAAAGTAGCCCGTGAAATACTTCTTTATCATTTTCGTTGACAGCCTGTCAGCGGTGTATAGTCGGGGGCGTTTTGCATCGGGCCGTCTGGGAATTCCGTTTCTGGGCTCCTGTCCAATTCCTCCGGTGGTTGCGGCATCCGACGCCACTGCGGTCTCCTAGAACTGGCCGAAACCCGTTTGCCACCTCGGTGACGACTCGTCGCCGTCGACGCGCGAGTAAGCTCGGATTTTTTCCTCCTGAGGTTAGTCGTCAGCCGCCGACAATGCGGCCGATTCGAGCGACTGTTGTCTCGAAGTCGCCGCGCCAAGTTAATGATGACACATGGCGGCTTTCACGCGGAGCGTGCACAGCCGCGTTTGCGCTGCGGCAAATGCTCGCGCTGCGCGCCGACAGTGCACTCGAACAGCGTTTTTGCATCATCCGTATAGTGTCGCGGTTCTTTGCGCCAGCGTCCAATGCCTTGCTGGCCTTCGGGGATGGGACGTGAGCGCAATCTGATTCCGCGTCATCGATTCGCTTGCAGGTCGTTTCTCTCCGGAGATATCTTTCTTTTGTGCGGCGTTCCGGAGGACGGCGCTAGTGGAGTAAGCGGGCTTCATTCAGAGTCGGGAGCCGTGTCGTCTCGGTGAGTGCTTTCGTCCAGCCACATAGCGTCGGCGTTTACACCGGAAAGAGTGCCCTTCCACTTCAAACGCTGTTTTTGAGGATCGTTTTGAATACGTTTCGTTTCTCCTTAATGACGCTACGCTGCGCTAATTTTGATTCTTTGCCTCGACCGAATTTCGTGTAGTGTGATCGCCCGCTCAGACGAAACAGTCCTTCGTGCTTCTTTGGCGTACATTCCAGATTTTGAGGGAGCTGTGCTCCCAACTCTAGGAATAGAACGCCAAGTTGAGGTACCATACGTGTACGTATGTTTGACACACCGAGAGATAATAGAGCTTTGCTGGGAGTCAAGTCGTAGAAAAAGGCCGGATCCGGGGTATATTGATCGTGGTAGCACCTAGTACGCTGCCTTTTTGCGGCAAGGAAGTAAGGACCTCTCTTGTTTCTCGAGAGCAAGCACGTGTCAAATGCAAGAATCGCCTCGGTGCTTAAGACCGTCCGAGGACCTCCAACAATAGGCACGGACGCGATGTCGGATCACCGTTGAACGTGCTGCCGAGCTGAGTTCCAATCTTAAAAGGGACGCCCTAGTGAATTTTCAGTTCTTTGTGAGGGGTGCATGTTTGGTGACGGGGTACTCTCAGCGCTGTATACCTTGTGTGCCCCCGACGGCCCCACAGCGTCAGAAACTAACGCATGAAATATTTGTTACAAAAATACCAAACTGTCCCTGTCCCTTTGTCGAAATATAGCGACCTACTCAAAATGTTCATACTTTTGGTGTCTCCAAAATTCTCAAAATGAACTTTTTTTTTTTTTTTTTTGCTCTAAATTCAATTTTTGTACGCATAAAAAAAATGGTTTGAAAATCTTGGACATTTTTAATACATCTCCTCCAAATGCCAATTTTTTCCTTGTTCCATATTTTATATCTGGCTAGATATTGCAGTGGTGTACTAGTAAATAATATCATAAAATGCAATACTTCGCTTTTACGCCCTCTAAGGTTGAGTCCGCTCGGACGTGGGTCTGTAAGTGCATCATGAGACGTAGGTACCCTACTGGGGGCCCTAAACTCGTCAAACACAAAGTTGGGGCCAAAGTTGACGGAGTGCACCAATTGGTCTATCACGACGATGACTTCGCGTTTTTTTCACCAACGTCCAACTTTCACCAACTTTCGGCTCCAACTTGTGTTGGTCGAGTGTAGGGTCCCAGGTCAGTGCCATGTTCGCGATATGCTTAATTAGCTAATAAGAGGACTGACAGAATAATCTATATGCCAGGTTTTGGCCAAAAAATTGAGATTAATTGTCTGGCGGCCGTGTTTTTGCAAGTTACCTGTAATATTGACATCTAAGACACGCGCAGGAAACTGTTTGATGTTGTTTTCTGATAAACCACTACGCTAGCTTACTGTAAATTAAAGTTAGGCAAGAAACAATGGGGTTTTTAAGAAAATCTAATCCGCGCTTGCAAGATCTTTGAAATAGTCGTATATTCAAATTCGTGTGCTACTTACTATGCCATGTAGATGCAATGTTGCATTCCTAATAAACAGAACATACTCCCAACTTTCTGGATATTTGAAGTAACAGCTTGCCAAAGCTTGCTAAACTTCGTCAAAGGGACATGGTTTGACATTTGTTTTCAGACGTCATCTAAGTTTGATGAACGGCTAAATTAATTGATCATGATATTCTATATTCCGAGAGTGCCTAAATAAGGAATTCCTAGCGCAGTGTCTTCTTAGGCGCAAACATAAACTACGCATCGCCGAATGTTATCTTAGTTAAAAGTTATAAGCGATTTTCGAAAATTCTAAATCAGAAAATGGTGACAGAGGAAGCTCACGAATAAGTACATGGGACTGATTGGCGCAAACTGCCGAGAACAGGCCCCAGTTTCCTATTTAAAGTTCTAAAAAGCGCCCCTGTAACTTTTGAATAAGGTTAGCTCTGTCACTTTGGTATTTGGTCCGTACCGCTAGTGCGAAATTTGTGCAAAACAGTCGGCGATGCCTAATTTACTTTAACGTTGAAAAAGAAAAAGGACTGTATTTTTAATTTTTTTTTTTGGGGGGGGGGGGGGAGGGGGGGGGAGAGGGAGGGGAGGGGAGGGGAGGGAGGGAGGGGAGGGGGAGGATGTACGTTAACCGGCGCAGAAGCTCACCTTGTGATGAAATTTCTGCTTTATCCGGTCTTGGTATTCCGGCAAAGAACTCGGCGCAACTGTCCTGTGCCTCTTCATTGGAAACATTAGGGAGTTTTGCACGGTCGTTTCTGCCTTCCTCTATTCCTATGCTACGACGGCGGTTTCTCGAGTGTTTCGATCGAACTGTACTTAGGTTTCGTGATATGCAAACCACCGAGATAATAGGGGTCTTAGCTTGGCTGAATGTAGGTCACATCTTATTTTCTTCAAACTTGCCTTTGTACAGTTCAGTTCCTAAAATGAGTGCTTGGCAGCAGATGACACTTGTTTTTTCCTTACGAGAGAGAGAGAGAAAATTTACGCCACATTACTGGAACTTTGTTTTTTGTACTTTTCTCGTTCTGTCGCTAGTAGGGAGGGAGTGCTGCCCCGCGTATCGGCGAAATCGGCCTTGCGCGGCAATCGGTCTACTCAAAGTGCATTCTGAATGGTTCGCCTTCTTTTACCACATTGCTGTGGGGTACCGTGATCGGAGTGCCGAAGCGATCTGCCGTTGAATCGCATCTGCAAAGAGGCGCCAGAGCCAAAACAGTATACGACCTCGGAGGCAGATTAGCGTGTGACCAGAAATGATGCTCGTCTCTCCGGCATGGTTCTAAACGCTCTTTTTTTTTTTTTTTAATTTAGGAGTGCAGTTGAGCGCTCTTGTTCCGTCTGCTTGGTAAAAAACTCCGCACATGTTTTTTTTTTTTTTTTTTATATATATGCCGGAACCGGCGAAACGATCACAACAATACTAGTTTAAGGTTTATTGAATAACCAATTCCTTGTATTTGGTTTTATTTTAAGATTATTCACGGAAGCACGAAAATGTCTGCAGGGGTCGACCAAAAAAACAAAAAAGGTATAAGCAGAAAACGATTGAATGATGAGATTGCCAAATGATTACTGTGTAATACGGTCAAGTCCGAGCGCCGCCGACGTTACGAGACCACTCAGGCAGCGGAAAATGCACGACGTTCGCCGTCTTTCTGGGGCTCGGCAGCGTCCTGTCGATTGTCTGTCCCTTCTACGTTTTGATGTTTCTCTTCTACCTGAGTCTCAGGTCCATTCAACATGGTTATTTCGTCCACGGTGATTAGCCGGCGCCAAGGTCAAGCACGGCGCCGACCAATCAGGGCCGCCGCTCGCCAACCTTTTTCGCCGAGTGTCCAGATTAGAGCTGGCCGTGCTCAATCAAGCGCGGACAGTGCGCCGTGACTGCGATTTTATTCGGTGCGTCTTTTATGCTTCGTTAGCGCTCCGACTGAGGGCGAAATGCCCAATACACGAGTGTGTGTGCCAATCGTCTCTGGGCTAATCAGATAAGCGCGGTCCTTTCCGAGAGACAGAAGAAAAAAAAAATATTACGGAAAGGAAGTCCTGCGGAGCGAACCGTTAATTTCACACCGGTGATCACGGATTTAGGCAAAGCGTCACCAATGACGACTGGTTTATTTCGGGGTCAAGGATCAAGCGACCTCTCCTTGTTTACCAAGCGGGTGACGTCATATTGGCTCGTGTTTGGCCAATAAAACGAAAACGAGTTTTAACCCCAATTGACCTTTCTGGAAACGCCAGCGCCATCAGTGAGCGCTCCGGTGCATTATGGGAACTGTGAGGGTGTCGCGCCCTTTAACTAAGCCAAGTCTAGCCTAGTTGAGCTTTTGCGTGCTAGGTGGCGCCCGCTACCTATCCGAACTGCAGCACCATTCTTAATCCAGTCATGCATCCAGGTGAGGTAACGGTCTTCAAACGTTGTTGGGACGAGCTATCCGAACTGCAGCACCATTCTTAATCCAGTCATGCATCCAGGTGAGGTAACGGTCTTCAAACGTTGTTGGGACGAGCTGCGTTTTTTTTTTTTCTTATTATTTTTGGCGAAAGAAAATAAAATGTATCAAACGAGCTCAACTGATTCCCGCAACAAAATTTAAAAAAAAAAAGAAGAAAACTTTGATGCGTGAGTGATACCTCGCTCTCTTGGCGCGTGGCCCACACGCGATGGCCCCTTTAAGAAAGAACGGCGGCCCATCCAAAACCCATAAAAAAAAAAAGGCAGTGGACAGACGTGCTGTGATTGAGGGTTTCTTACCTCATGTGGGCAGCGCAGCGCAGCACAGGGCGCTGTAAAGATTGCCGTCTGCCGTACGGCAGACGGCAATCTTGAGCACGCGAACGCAGGCAACGTGGTTCTCGCGGTCGGTACGGCGGCAGCAGACGTCGGAGCAGCGACCGTCACAGTTCCCATAATGCCTCACGCACACCGCTTGAGGGCGCGCGCTACTTACCAGAAAGGTCCAGTGGGAATAGTCACTGGCGGTCACAGCCGGTCTTAGCAGCCCATAAGTGTGAGCACGTTCTGAGCGTACGCTGTGAGCAGCCCACGCCTCGCGCAAAACGCGGGCTTTGTGCTTTGATACAAACCGTTCACACGCGCGCACACGTGACACTTGCGCACGCCGTGCAATTAGGATTTACTCTCGAGGCCCTCCTTCCTGAGGTTGTCTCGCGCGAACGTTTGGTCGGTCCCACGTCTGTGCAGTCAGGCGGAGAATGGCACCGAGGGCTAAGCCCTACTCGATTCGTATGGACGTAGCAGTTGACGAGAATGAGGCTGAACGGAATGATCGAGTGTTTCAAAAACACCATGCGTCGATTATCATGATTTGAGGCTTTGCCGCGCCTTTGGCTTCTGAGCGCCCTGCCACCGATTTCCGTGGCTCATTTCAACGCGTTCGATCAATTTGGCACAGTCTCACCTTGTCGGGATTTTTTGTTAGGTTTGATAATTGTTATCTCATGTTCTTCGCCTCTTCAGTTGAT